TCGCATAAAGTTTTATGAATTATTCAATTGTATTAGATTAGATTTCATCTTACTATTTACATATTTAATTTTTCCCTCTGAAATTATCTATTGTTTGTAGTTTATGTAAATTTAATAGAATTTATCAATCTTATTAATTCATTAAATTAATTAATCCTGTTATAAGTTTCATTATGCTTTTTAATAAATTATTTTAAAAAGAAGAACAAATAAATTAACTTAATGAATTAATGAGATTTGTAGGATTTATTTTAAAATAAATTGGTATAATTGAAATAATATAATTTAACATTAACATTTTTTTTCTGATTTAAAATTTAGGAAAAAACAAAAATTGAATTAATTAAAATTTATCGAAATTAATTCAATTAATCAAACAATTAATGCTAAATTTGTATTTATCTGTAATTTGTGTATTGTTTATTTAAAAAACCTGTAATCATTCCATTAAAGGGTATAAATGTTTTAAACAAAGAAGGTTCGTTTATTTATGCTAATAAGTTTCGATTAAAAATAATTTCAAAGTATCTTTGATTTCTCTATTATTATCATATAATGTTACTGCAAGAAAAGAAATATTGACACTTATCAAAGAGTGATATTATTTAACAAAATTATAATGATAAGGGAAGAAATGAAATAATTATCAACATTGATCAGAATTGATTGATTGATCGATTTTTTTTTGGTCTTTTTGCAAACATTATTTATTAGTTATTCATTCCAAAAGTTATTTCATTTTTCATTTCATTTCATTTCATATGATTCTTCACTATTATTACTACCATAGTTTCGATAATAATAATAAACAAATAAATATAATAATAAACAAATAAATATAATAATAAACAAATAAATATAATAATAAACAAATAAATAAAGGTAGAATGTTGTTGATCCTTAAAATATAACAAATAAATAAAGGATAGAATGTTGTTGATCCTTAAAAAAAGGTATCACAAATATATGTTTTTTTTTTTAAAATTAATTACTATATTTTTTTAATTACTATATGTTTTTTAATTACTATATGTTTTTTTTTTAAAAATTAATTATATATTTTTCTAAAACATTAACTGCAAAAAATTAACTATATGTTTAGCAAAAGTGAAATTGATCGAAAAATGAATTGAGCCATTTAACAGGATAGCTGTCAATATTTTTTATTTAAACAATACACTTTCTCTAAAGCATCTCTATATCAACAAAATGTGATGGTTTTAAACTTTTTTATAAAATTTTAAACTTTTTTTTAAAATTTGCTTTTCATCAAATTACGCTCATCAATCAATACTTTTCATCAATAATATCGATTTTCCTGAATCGGCAGATATATCATCATCATTTTGCTTCATCGTTATATATTGATGGAAAATCATGCTTCATCAGAATTGGTCATCGTTATTTTATGAACGGCTATTGCATAGAAGTTATAAATTAGTAATTAGAGAAGTGGTGATATGAATAGTATTAATGATTATCATGAATATAGTAATAATTATATGGAATTGATTTCAAGGAAAAAAATTCTGTGATCCATGAATATAGTGATAATTATATTGAATTAATTAAATGATTATATATAGTGGAAAATCATATTGGTCATCATAATTTAATGAACGACTATTGCATAGAAGTTATAAATTAGTAATTAAGAGAACTGAATAGTATTAATGATTATCATGGATATAGTGATAATTATATGGAATTGATTTCAAAATAAAAAATATTAAATGATCTATGAATATGGTGATAATTATAGTGAATTGATTAAATGATTTGATAATATATGATTCATATTAATAGACTCAGATGATATTGAAAAATATGTTTTACGACGAAATGAACTATTATCATTATGTCATCCATTTTCAAATGTTACAAATAAACTAATCGATTAAAAAGGCCCATTGTTAAAGTATCCTTTTAAATGGTAATTAACAAATTAAAAAGGCCCATTGTTAAAGTATCCTTTTAAATGGTAATTAACAAATTAAAAAGGCCCATTGTTAAAGTATCCTTTTAAATGGTAATTAACAAATTAAAAAGGCCCATTGTTAAAGTATCCTTTTAAATGGTAATTAACAAATTAAAAAGGCCTATTGTTAAATACTCTTTTAAATGATTATTGTTGTTTATTGGAAAAAGAAGTATTGCAGCATGCAAACTAATTTTTGAATAAATAATATATCTTATAATAATATTCAGAATCTGTTATTTTTTAAAAACTATTTAAAAAGATTAATTTAGGATCAATTACTCTATAACAGCTGTCATAAATACGTTTGTATTGCCAACTACTGATTAATAATCATTATTGTGATATCATGAATCGAAACAATGATTTATATTACAAATGAATCAATCAATTCTATTATTCATTTCCATCATTACTTATTATTATTGCTCTATTTTATAGTAGTAGTAGTAGTAGTAGTAGCATTAGCAGTAGTAGTAACAGTAGTGGTAGCAGTAGTAATAGTAGCAGTAGTAGTAATAGCAGTAGTAGAAGATAATGAATTTACAGAAATATTCTAAAATAACACTTATAACTGGAAAGAAAGCAAAACTAAGTTTAATTTAATTTAATTTGAATAAATTAAACTTAATTTAGTTTAAAATAAAATTAAGAAAAAAATTGAAAAATCAATTGAATTTAATTAATTCCCTCAGCTATCCATACTACTACATAATTTCATATTCCATTTTAAAGATTTAGAATTATTTCATTTTTCTACTTTAAATGGAAGAGATAATAAAACCACATTGTTCGGTACCGTAGCTTACCTGTTATTATTGTTCGATACCGTAACTTATCTATTATTATTATTATTCGGACCGTAATGATTTACTGTTGTTGTCTTCGCTAGCGCAGTGATTTATTGTTGTTATTGTTATGATATCCTAATAACTTGCTACTATTATTGGATACCACAGTGACCTCACTAGTATTGCTGTTATTTGGTACCATAGTGATTTCCTACTGTATCATCTTACGCTAAAGTTGGTTAAAACAATTTGGCAAGATGACAAATGATAAGTTAAACAATAAGAAATCAAAATTTAAATTTTTGCAAAGTATTAATTATTTCCTAACTTGTTGAAACTCTTCAAACAAACAATTCATTGTTTTATTTCTGATTAATGATTGATTAATTCAAGAAGCTTTTGAACTTTGTCAAAACTAAATTTGATGAAAGTTGAAAAGGCCTTTCAATTTTCAAATGTTAACTCATTTTATTTTTGATGTAGATAAGAAGCATTGATAACTTTGAATATCATTATCATTATCGCCTTGGATTATTATTATCATCCTTAGATGATTTATATCTTCTTCTAACAAATATGATTAAATTCTTAATTAAAAATTTATTTAATTATTAAGAATAAACGAACATAATTTATCAACATGTTGTAAAATTTGAATCAGACGCACTAATTTTGATATTAAACAACTTTTTTTAATTCGAAAAATATTTGAAATTTTTTTTCAAATTTTCTAATATTTTTATTGTTATCAATTAATCTTTCATTTTTGTTACAAAAATTATTGACAGCTAAAATTATTATTTCTATTATCTTTAATGCTATGATTGATTCTTAGGTTAGGAATGTAAATTAACAAATATTTTGAATATTCTGTGGTTACATTGAATGATTGAGCTATCAATTAATTCTCGATTGTTTACAACAACGTCGAATGTGACGTAATTCAAATAGATAGATCGTGAACACTTTGAATCATTTTCATTGAATGATTGAGTAATCAATTAATTCCTTGTTGTTTACAACAACATCGAAAGTGGCGTAATTCAAATAGATAGATCGTGAACACTTTGAATCATTTTCATTGAATGATTAAGCAATCAATTAATTCTCTGTTATTTACAACAACGTCGAAAGTGACGTAAATTAGATGGATCGTGAACGCTTTCAATCATTTTCATCTCTTTATATTTGAATAGTGTAAAATTGTTTAATTCAAAGGAAAAATTAGAATTTGAAAAATAAATTTAAGCCGCGTTTAAAAAAAAAGAGTTTAATTAATTGTTTTATCATTTTTTTTTTAATTCAATATAATTTTAGCTAAACGAATACAAATATTGCTATTAATTTACTTATTAGAAATATATACATATTAATTATTAATTATCAAATTATTAATAATTAAATAGAATTTAGGTAGATTCAACAAAAAGTATCGTTAATTAGTATATTTAAGAAAATTTTTATTCTTCTTATCTCATTAAAAGCAAAAAAGAAACTTGAAGAAATCGTGGAAAAAGAAAAACATCAGCTGATAAACCTTCCAATCATTATCACTGTGTCGCCATTACTTCTCTGTTGACACAACTAAAAATTTGATTTCCTATATAACGAAATGAAACAGCTGACTTTTTTTCATGCAAGTAAACATTTGCAATATCATGAAGAATAAATTCATCATGACAATAATAATACATACTTACTTGCCAGTTATCATTATTATCTATCTATTTCATTGATCGCTATCAGATATCAAAAAATTTTTCATACATCTTATTTATCATATCTGAATCAATTTCATATACATATATGTAAGCAAATATAATTTTAATTGAAGTAAATTTATGATAATTTTTTTTATTGATGATAAATTTATATGAATTATATAATTTGCTTCTTTCATAGAGAAGAAATTAAGTTCCATATTTTTAATGCAAATATTTGAAGTGTAGAAAATAATACAATAATGTATTTAAAATTATTTTTATTTAATCATCCAATAATAGAAAAATAATCAACGAATGATTCTAAAAAGCTAGAAACTATCTAAATGATATGTTATAATTAAAAAGAAAAATGAAAAGGTAATTTAATTTAAGCTTCCTGAAATCAATTTTCGAATATTAAGAAACCCCGAAACTTCTGCAGCTTTCTTTTAATTATCAAAAATAAAATGATACAGATTCTAGGCATGAATTTTTCATTATATTTTATTTGCCAATGGATTCATGAAGTTAACTAGTTGGACATGTTAATACACATTCTGCTTGATTGGTATTGTTTGATAACACATAACCCATCCTAACATTACATCGACATTTGTTACATATTAGTCCATCACATTTGATGACATTTCGCGGAAAATATCTTGATCTTAATCTCTTATTCCGCCCGGCAGTAGCAGATGGGCAAACTGGGACTGCATGATTCTCGTTACGCTCCAAACGAACCAATACTTCTGAGTGTTTACACTGAACTGTAATGTAAAAAAAGCAACAATAGAAACTGGTTATTGAAACGAATTATTGATTTCCTCAAAAATAAGAATTGAATATTAAAAATCCAGTATACAATATATTGCAACTTCTATATATATATATATATATAGACAACTCTTAAGAGAATAAATCAGCCAATAAATTTTAGAAATATTTAAACGAAATTTATTTCTTTTAAAATCATTTCATATGGCATGCTTCTGTAACTAAAGAATTCAGAAGAAATAACGAAAGAGTACGAATGGCTCCAAAATTTCTACCATTTAAATATTACATATCTAAGTTTTCAAGCACATTATATTCCACTTATGCTTTCATGATATTCTTCCTCAGCTAACATCTACTATCAATCAATTCAAAAAAGAATTAATTTATATAACTGCTTTATATACTAATTAATAAAATAACATTTGTTAATTATATTGGGATAAATATGAATCCGTCAAATAAAAAAAAAATAGAAAGGATCGATCTTTGATTTTATCTATGTGTTATCAAAGAATGATAAATTAATTGTTGAATATCCAAATGCCATACCTTTAGCAAAACATTTTTCAATATACATCAAATAGAAAACACCCAGAATCTATAATGAGATATTTTATTTGTGGAAAAAATTTAAATGCTTCGTATCATAGCAAAACATGCATCAATCTTAAATTTAGATTACAATTTAAAAAATGAAAATCAAAAGCAATATTTTTCTACTTTATAACAATTGATAGAAATCAATACTTACCGCGATGATTAATTTCATCCCCACAACACTTGCTGAAATTGCCAAATTCGAAAGTATGCAGAATATACGAGGAAGAGGCCTTAATTTCGAAACATTAGTATCATATCATTTTTCCTTTAGAAAACCCAAAAAATATAATACGAACATTTCCGATATGTAAAAAATTTTTATTAACCTTCTAACTTCTTCCAGAAATCAAAAACCAGAAATAGAGATTGTCAATAACAATTTTGCTCATAAAACTAGAATCAAGCTTCCCTCTTTGAATTTAACATTGACATTGGTAAAATTGGCAAAATCGATTACTTCTCCGCAACCACCGATTTTTCCAATGAATATATAATTAATGTTTAATACAAATTTTAAAATCATTTGTTCTGTAGGAATCAAAGACGTTTTTTTTTTTCAGGGAGATCATTCTTTTTAATCTCTAATTATATGAATCATTTCGATTCTACTTTCACAAATTTTCCAAACTTTGGTTAGCTAAAAATTTTTTGAAGTAAAGTTGCTAATTTCAAATATCGAATGCTATGCATGTTGAGATGAGGATATTAACACTCTGCAAAAATAAGAAAATCATTTAGATCATTTAGATGTACGAAATGATTAACAGTTAATCACTTCATACATCTAAATGATATGGACAATTCCAAGTTAATAAACTTAATATTTTGGAAAATTGAAGCTTTCTTCTTCATTGTTCATTTAAAAAAACTCGAGGAATAAATGCAAATATCGAAATCAAATGCAGAAATGAGACCAATGAATCAATTCACTGTTTTATTCGTTTGTCTTCTGCATAACATACCCTTGAAATTTCATGACCGTAACAATTTTCAGGAAAAAAAATCAAGAATCAAATATAAAATACAATATCCGTAAAATGAAGCCAAAAAAATACAACAATAACGTAATTTAAGATATCGAAGAAAACGTTAAGCCTCAATTCTTGATATCAAAACTTGAGATTATGAAAGTAATTGCATGATTTCGTCTTAAATCATTTCGAAGAAAATAGGACGAGAGATTATTCCGAATATGACTTTCAAATTAGAAAATTCTAGAACTAGACAACCATTTTCATTTTTTTGAAATGTAAACTTAAATGAGCATATCGAGTCTTCTGTAGAAGTGGTAGATTAGTGGCAAGGAGAGCGACGCTGTGACTATCACACATTGAAAAAATCCGAAACAAAGCAAATGATAAGTATTCAGCATCTTCCAGACATTCCGAAATAATGAAAGGTGCTATCTGAAATGATGAAGATAGATTAATTTCGTATAATAAATAAGCCAGTACAATCACAATTTGCATCAAAGTTCTTTAAGAATAAATGCGCAAATATTTGCTAAGGTCATTAACGCACGCTTCAAGTTCAGTACATTTTCTTTGGAGACCAAATTATGTTTTGGACTTAAGCTTCTAAAGCTTTAGAATCAACAGGGCCTTATTAAACCAAGGAAGAGTAAAAGAACGTAAAAGGAAGCTTGCAAAAACCATGATATATTTGAAATCATGGCTCCTGATGTTCATTATTCGATTTAATAAAATAATTCCCTAATCTTTTGTCTATAAAAAGATCAATGCATTTGACAGCTCGATTATATATTTCCTTTTTTTCTGTTCCTATAATATCTAATATGGAATATCTACTTGTTCTCATCACTTTCTTTTCACGAAAAATAACTCACTGAACTGGATTATACTAGATTTTGAGTCAGCACCTAAACGCTGGAATTCCAAAAATAAATAAAATATTGGAAGATGATGCCTATATACAAATATTACAAAATATAGTAAGAAAACGCAAGCAATACAATATTAACTTATGTATTACGATAAAACAATATGTATTGCGATGTATTATAATAGAAGAAAAAATGTACCCGGGAAAATGACCGTTGGTATTTCACCATTTCGTTAGCAACTTTAGCAAACCCGTAAGATAAATGACGAATAAACTGAGGATCGACTGCCGACGTATCATTTACATATTTCCGCATAGCTTGTCCAATACATACAAATAAGTTAATGTAAAGCGAACACTGGTCATTAATTACAGATTGGGCTCCAAATCGCAGACAGTCCTGAGAAATAAAAGATTTCATTAAACACAAATCCTTCAGTCATGATGATAAATTTTCATCGTTATTTAAATTGAAAAGCTGGAAATGGTCTGATTTACACAATCTCAGTTCAATCCCCTTTTATTTTCCTATGACTTAAGTTGACAATGTGCTAATATAATTAAGCAAGAATACTTTAAAACTATATTACTTACTAGAAGGAGAGAAACAGCATTGCGTAGCGCTATAAAATCTGAAGATAACGATTTACAATTCACTGCAAGAATTATTAAAGCGAATGATACAAAATCTCTCTCGTAAGCGCTACCAGTGCACACCTAGAAATACTAAAAGTTAAAAATTAAAATCATACAATAAATAATGATTTATTGGATAAGATCGACGTCAACCCATTTACACTCGAAAGTTTAATAATTCTTCAAACTTATTATCAGAATACAACTAATTTTAAAGTTTATAAACTATACTACTTGGATAAGGTAAAAAACATAGAAGAGAATAAAACAGCATAGTGTAACGTCAAAGAAAACCTACCGGAAGCATGTGTCGTAGAAAACTAAGAGTTGTTAGATAGTCTATTTCAGCAATATTTACTACGATTTTCAGTACATCTTCGAGTACAGTGGACAAAAGTTTTCTCTTTTCTTCATTCTGTTGCTTCGCCAATGCAAAATATAATGCAAATTTCTTCGATGAATGAAGATCATATGAAGATGAGTGTAGTAGGTTTTTCAACTAAAAAAAGAATCACTAAACCGATCTCGGTATTTATTATTTATGGGCATAGAGAATTGTTAGAAACTCAAATTTCGAATTATCTCAACGTATGATAAGTAAATCATCTGGTTACCTTAACGACAATCGTGATTCAATGAATCAAACGTTAATACCAGAAGACATTTCATTGAACAGAGAATCAGACTAACCATTTCCACTGGCGCAATACTGATAATGTCGTTAATGGTGGCCTCATCATATAGTTCGAAATATCTAAAATATTTCCAGGAAACGATATGCTCGAGCTTACCCCTTTTTACCATCCACAAAATGGATCTTCTCAACAACTGTGATAGTTGCTCTGATATTACTCCGGACTCCATCATTCTGTTTGGATGTTTACAAATAGTTTTGCATAGCTGAAAATGATTTAAAGTTCACTTGCATCTAAAGTTACAACATAAACATAAATCTTCCCGATAATGTCCTGATAAGTTTTTCATTCCCAAACTGGAATTAGAAATTATCAAACAAATTAATGGTTATATTAACAGCGTTATAAGTTCTAACGTAGTAGATATATTCACAATAACAGCTCTCATTTTACTTGATGATATCTTAATTTTTGCCTCTACTTTTGATCTGACATAAAAACTGCACGTGTTAGCTTCAAAGTCTTCTTTTGAATTCTGAAATATTACCAAATAAAGTCTTACTTGATCAGCAGTTTTAACATGCTCTGCTATATTTTCAATCTCTTGTGCAGTTATCGTCGTATCACTATCTTGCAAAACTTTCGCTACAGGTAATATTGACAAAGATAACTCAAAAAGAGTCATTTTCACTGCATCTTTGCAATCGAGAGGACAAAGCAGTCCATAAACATGTCGGAAAACCTACAGAAGTAATAGAACAGCAATAATGAAATATAACTGCAATTAGTGGAATACAGGAAAATCCGCGAAAGATCATAACCTCTTCGAAATATATATTTTACTTATTAAAAAGACTTAAACGTTAAAAGTGACTACAACATTACCTCTTCAACCATAATTCGCAATGTCCTATTTCCTTCTGCATTTGCTTCGTAATGGATTTCACTAATTGCATTACACAATGGTTTCAAGAAATAATACTGCTCTTCAACTAAACTTCTTTGTGCTGCAGCTTTCAGTATAGCATCATACTATAAAATACTTCTCAAAATACTTTCCAATATATTTTTTTTACATTTCATTCATCACAATTCAATTACAAAATGTCATATGCTTCACCTTTTCAAACCTTTGCAAAATTATGAGAAACTTAAGTCATGTAAAAAAACATAACCACTCTAAGATATACACTGTACTTGTTGAGAGAGTTAAACGTTAAAATGAATACAACATATTTTTTATGGAATTTGTTTAAAATGAAAAAAAACAGAACCTTGAGAACAAGCGTGTCATGATGGCAATTACTAAGCAGGAATTCTTTAACTAGAACTTGAGTGCTCTTTGAGTTATTATTCGAGTAACCACATCGAAGTAAAATTTTGATATATTTTTTCAATATTTTTTCTTCACAACTATTTATTAAGCTTCGAAATAATTTCGAGTCCGACCTAAAATGATAATTGACAAAGCTTACGAAATCATCGCTGATAATAGCGATAATAGCGATCAGAAAAGAACACGAAGTTTTAATGAAAATCTTTCACAAGACCTTTAACTTCTGGAACTTTCAGCAAGAGCAGATTAAAATTGTGGAACATTTTCATTCCTCCAGACTCAATGCTCTGTTTTTAAATCCCAAAACTAACCTCATTATCGATAGAGTACTTTCAACTGCAGTCTCAAACAATTCCGATGACATACAAGGAATGAGCGAAATCAAAACAAAAAACAACGACACTCGCAGTGGAACTGGTAAAGTCTTTAATGAAAATCCTTTTCCACAAACTAACTGCGCAATTTGGTGAAATTTTTTACCAATCAACAATATATGATGTGAAGCCGGAACGAATGTAGACATCATCATTTTCCAAGATCTGTTATATTGAAATTCATATACAAATCTTACTCTTCATTAAAAACAATTTGGAAAAGAATATTACGGATTTTTTCATAAGTTGTATTAATACCCTTCTTTCTTCTCATCGAATTTGTCATAAATTGGAAAAGAATTCACTAATATTATTACTTCCCCTTCCGCATAGGTTTTTCTAATCTCGAATTACTGCTTTTGTGTTGATTTTGACAACTATATGTGAGATGCAGAAAGAGTAAATAAACCCATATTAGGAATAAAAAAGGATGAAAACTTCAAGTTTCAGTATTTGAAGCTAAATAGACCCTAACCATAAAGATGATAACAAATATCTCCAAATGCAGGAACAACATAATTCGAGATTAGAAAACGATTACGAAAAATTCACTTACTTTAATTTATCTTCATAGCTTTTATTTGATGTTGACAAGATTTCCATCACACTTTTTCTAATCCATAATCCAACATTTCCTTTTTGCTGAGAAAAATTTTCATCTATAAGCACTGATAAATTCAACAATAAACACCGAAAAAAAGGCTGAAGTACTTTGGAAGCGCAGATATCGATAAATCTCGAATGACGAAATACTGAACGACTTAGCAAATACAACTGAAAAACAAAGATTTGAAAAAAAAAACAGGATTTCACGAAATTAATTTGGAAACAGTCAAAATGAACTAAATAACGTCAAATCATGATACCTAAAAAACTTTAATAAGCTTTAATGAACATTCAATGAAATGCTTAATTTTTGCGAAAGTCACTTTTTCTTTTCCGCTGTAAAATGAAATCAGCATCTCGCAAAGTTACACACAAGATTTCTAATCCAAAAATTTTTCTTTAACATTTTTTGAAAATTACGTCATTATTTTCCAGATGAAAGGTAATCAAAACATTCAGCAGCAGTTCACTTTGATTAGATTGACAATGTGACAAAAGTATACCCAAGTTCGTTTCCAATAACACGAAAAACTGAAAAAGTTTTTAAGTTGAAAATAATTAACAATCACATATCTTCGTAAATAAAAGTCAACCACAGTTTGTAATTAAACTTCCCTTAAAAAAATCTATGATGATCCGAATTCAATTCAATTATTTTTTAATCGAGATGAAAGGGAATTTTACGACATTGTGACAAAAAAAATCACGAAAAACGACCATTACTTCCTCTAGCACAAAATACCTGCTCTCTAGCAAAAAATACCTGTTTTCGAGAATTTAATAAAAGATCGTCATTTTCTTTAAGATCCTTCAAAGATTTTTCTAAACATTCCATATGTTGCGTACAATCGAAACCCAGTGAACTCATAACCAAAACAGTGCACAAATTGAAATGAGCCGATCTCATGGATTCCTGAAAAAATCTGGAAAACTTTGCCGACATGAATAAATAGAATATGGAATGAATTATTTTAAACAATGAATAAAGGTAATGGCAGTGTTGACTAAGATGGAAAGCTTTGCATACAGATCAGAAAATGTTCGTACAAGCAATACTTAACATGGATATATGAATAAGTTCCATTAAGAGATAAAAAAAAATAGATCTTCCCAAAATTGTGGTTTTAAACGTTCCGGATATTATTACGAATTATCATTTTTTTGTCAAAAATCTGAATGATATGTAATAGGTCCAAATACATATTACAAACGTTTTCTGCATGTAATAATTTATCCCAGACATTCCGGAGAACTTCTCGATCACAATCATCAGAATAAGCGGCTAGAAGAGCGATTGAGTAGAATATTATTTCAGCGATAATCGAAGCCATGGAATATTGCTTTACAAAGCAAAGATGGCAATAAACTTGCGGAAGAATTTTATGAAGCAATAACTGGAGTTGTTTATTTTGCAACAAATTTGTACAACATATAAGTTGTTTCAGTAGCAAACAGTGATTTCTGAAAAAAAGTGTAATAAGTTGAATCGCTGGATTTCTTTCAACTCTTTCAAAATACGTCGGTTCCTCAGTTGCTAAGTCATTATAAACAATAGTGACAAAAAAGGCAAAGGTCATTTTGAGCTTTCAAGGTTAATTTATTTTGTATTTCATTGGATTTCACTCCAATACACAACTTCATTCTCCTCATAAATGTTATATATTTAATCAAACAAGATTTCCAATCCTCAACAAAGTAAAAATGTGAAAACGTACTCAAATTCTTAAAAATATCGAACCTTATTCCTGAAGTATTCTGCAAAAGAAAATCCATCCATTTCTTGGTATACATATAAACAGTTGAAAAACTCATGACACCGAATTCTTTCTTTATATAAGTTAGAAATATTTCATTTATTTCAAAATCTGGACACTCCATCGACAAATCCGAAACTGCTTGTAAACAAAGATCTATTTGACCATTAGCGGATATTTTCAGAAGTTTTTCTAAAAAGGGCATGAAAATTTTTTAAATGAAATTTGCATAGGTTTAAAATTTAAAGTTCATGTGGATTTATTCATTTGTTAAATTTGACTGATGTATACACTTTAAAATATTTAAGACAAGCACACGCGAAACCTACGTGGAAACGTGTTGTCTTCGTCCTTCAATATGTTGAGTATTTCTTCTTTATTATATAATCTTGTCTGAACAATGGAAAATGTTGAAAAATCAAAAATAGCATTTAGAAAACAGAAACGAAGACTTTAAGCAAGAAATTTTAAGACCGTTCAGTAAATTACTTTCCGAAAAGCAGTTAAAAGTTTAAGAAAGTTTCTGAAATACGGGAAGCCTAAATTCGTCGATGAGACCTTTTTTATCCAATTAGCTCACAATGGTATCCGTCCAATTATCTCGCACAAACTACCCTTTCATTAGGTTATAAATGACTTGTAACTGATTTCTGATCGACTCATTAAAATCAAATGGATCTCAGTTGTGCATTCTTGCTTCGCTGTCTAAAACGGATTCTACGGCAGAGTTTGTTTATGATCTGAATGCAAACGAATGAAGTACATCAGTCTTCTTCGGTATCTTGGATCTGATTTTCGACTTCTCTTCATTCCGCGTCACCGATTTCAAGCGGTTCTTGGAGTCCAACATCAATGTTATGGTTTAGATGCAAAGAATTTTGTGAGAAGGGTAAAACGAAAAGTGCTGTCTGGTATATACGCTTCCGCCGAATGTAAAAGTAGATATCAAACTAAATAAACTGCAATTAAAACAATTAAAAAATACATCAAATAATGTACTTTATCTAAACACTAATCTATTAAATAAGTATAAACTCATTAATCCATATTAACGCAATAATGGATACACGATAATTTAATGAAATTAATATATTCAAAAAAGTTTCTATCCACTCTTTTTGGCAGCACTAACACCTATCAATTCAATCAATATTATGTACACATGAAAACAAACATACATATATACATCTAGCTTTTTACTAATATTTTTTTTAAAGTTTTTTTTAATCTATATAAATACAAAACACAAATGATAGACCTTTACAAGTTCAGGAACAGGGAGCCTACGCAGAATGCACTGCTGTTCGTGAAATAGTTCTCCAATATGCTCAACAGCGGCTTCAAACAAAGTAGGTACTGCAAAAATATATCAGAAACAATAGAAAATAAGAAACAAAATTTTTTTTCTTAATATTTAAAATTAAAAACGTAAGAAAATGAATATTTACATCACGTAATTGTCTGTCATGGAAGAAATCTGACATAAAGCCTATATCTTTTGTATAATTATTCCAAAGAAATGAATGAATTTGGAAACAATAAAAGGTCTGGGATGCTCCTAACTCATAGAACTGATCCGTACAGCAAAAAATTCATACATATATCATCGCTAATAGCTGTAAAATATCTCAAAATTTCTATCCCACACAATAAACGCTTTTCTGACAAAACTACATCCAATTTAACTGTTTTAAAAATCACTGTTATAGTTTGTTCATAACAGGTATGAAATACGGATGATAACATATATATCCATTTTTCTTTCTCTTTATAAGCTTTTTAATTTGCATTCCCTAATTTGATTTATTGTTAAATCAAATTCGAAAGAATATTATCCATCAGTTAAAAAAAAGTGAAAACCAAGGAAATTTGATCGATTGAAGGGTCATTAAGAACATTACAAAAAATGATAAACCTTTCTGAGTGATAAAAACGAGTGCCGTATGAAGGAAACGCCTAGTGATGACAAAAACTTCAGTACGATCAGGTAAAAACTGTGCAGCTGCACCGTTCCGTATAAATCGCGCTATCCAACAGTGCCCTGAAATGCAGGATAATTTATCGGAATGTGAATTAAATTTCCAATTTCATTTATAACATTTAAATAATTCAAAAGGAAAACAGGTAAAAATGTAGTAACACAATAATCCATCGATATTGCCTGTGGTCCAAATACTAATAAGAGTTAATCTCAAGAATTATCTTTACATTAGACTATAATAAAAATAGTTCAAAGTACATAAAGTTAAAAGCGGTGACTTGCCAATAAAGGTGGTTAATTTCACAACTTCGCGTGAGCCAAGCTTCAAATAACGAACTAAATTGCCCTGAAAGAAGAAACTGAAGCTCGAAAATTCCCGCTGTAGGAATTCTAAGACCTCAAATCTTTAATGCAAAAACTAATCTTAACAAAAAGTCAAGACGAGTGTACCACTGTCTTAAACCAATTATGGGCTACAATATGCAGCCAACAGAAACACTCATTTGAATTTCAAATATGTTTCAGGATATCACGAAAATAAAACACTATACATGAAATACTTACTTGGAAATCAATCCAGCACAGATCGACAGTATCACGAGAATTATTGATGAATCGAATGTTCACTTCTTCTAAGTTCCTAACAGACTTGTAGCGGGGAACGAAAATTTCTTCCAAAATAAATGAGTCAATTCGTGACTCATTCACGGACATGTACTGCAAGCAGTAATTTAAACAAATACCCTTGGCATTAAATTCATTTCAGATCCAGCTTTCTTGTATGATTTCGTCTTACAGTGAAAGAAAATCGAGTTACTGAAATCGAGCACTGCGGAACTCTAACGCCTAACCATCTGTATACTTTGAGTAACATGCTCCGCGAAATATCATTCTCGCTGCACAAACAATATTGACGGTTTCACCCATTTCAAACCAGCCATCAGTCCCTATGACGGGAACCGGACAGAAGTCAATTACTATAGGAATAGAATAGACTTTGTAACATCAGGTACTTTCATACAAATGTTAGAATTATCAATTATATCAGCATATTACACTTCCATCGATCACTAAAAGCCACATGTAATGCGTACCGATGACTATTCAAAATCAATTTTTTTCCTGCCTGAACTGATAATTTCTTGCATGAAGTCTTGGAAAACGAAGTGGTTTGTAGAACCAATTTTGAAAGAATATTAAATGTCAATATATTTATTCAACATACTTTTCATACAGTGAATAAAGAGTGAATATGAAACAACGGGCAAAGAAAGGGACGGAGACGATGCTAAACTAAAGATCATTGTTTTTCTTCAACAAGTGCCTCTCTCACAAGCATTAAATAAGGTACTTCGCCATCCTTCTCTTCTCGATATTCTACTACAGCCACTTGTCCCTCACCTTGACCTTCAGCCATACGTTCGCCTAGAAATTGCATTTTTTGTTAAATTCAAATCGTGCTTGCGGAACGATGCTACAGAATTCAACGCGATAATCACTATAAATTTGACAAAAGTCATTTAGAGAATCAACCTACGCTTGGATTTGGCGAATAAATCTGAAATGAGTTTTGTATTTACATATTTAAACAAATTGTAAACAGCCATTTATTTGAAAAGTAACATACCGACGAAGAATTGCAATTGTCTAAATCGGTCCTTATTTAGAAGTGATACAACCCAAGCTTGAATCTTCCGCTTGAATTCATTAATTTCTTCTTCCGATTTGCCGTTTTTTTGCATTAGTTCAACTACTTTCTTCATAAATGATTTGCAGTATGCTTTAAACGTAGACATATCTTCGTAACAGCTCATTTCCTGCAGAAATCTAATAACCTGATAAAGAAAACTAAATATTTCTTGAAACATTAAAATTCGCTTAAAAATTCAGATATATCAACCAACATTTTAGATTATCAGCAGATTTTAAACATATGTACAGTGCAATGCAAATAACGCTATAGTGCTGAAATTACTTGTAGTCGATGATTAAGCACAAAGTCGATGCCTCGTTCAACGCATTCATCGTCGTCACCCTCATCACCATCTTCGCCTTCTGCTGAAGGATTTGCACCAGCGAGCACAATTTCTCCTTCTTTTCTCACCACTTGTCGTCCTTTGAACTCCCAAATCAATCCATCCACTAATTTCATTGGGAACGAGTCCGACGCAAGCTCGTCATCTAAACATGAGTATTTTTTTAAACGATCATGGTTAAAATTACGTGATAGAAAATCTTCCGCAAATAAATTTTTTATAGTTTCATCGTTCAATACAGAGTAACTCAGCCGAAAAGCAAATTCATATTCCAGAATCTGATATTTACAATTGTTTTAATTTAACAATATGGAAACTATATTTAGAGCACTAATTGTAACAAGACAAAACAAAAATGAAGACCTAGAGCGTATTGTGATAAAAGTGAGAGAAAAATTGAGTTCCCTCGTTGAACTACAACAAACAAGACTGAATTCCTTATTCAATTTTAAAAAGTTGTAGGATAACTAAGATATATCAAAAACGACATATCTGAGCTATCAAAACATGTTCTGCCACATTATACTCGCCCAGTGAGCATAGGAAGCTCCATGTAACACATGCTGTTCACCAATAACTGGCTCACAGCAAACTGCCTCTCGAGCCTCGTTCACTGGACTCAAGGAATATGGCTAAATGGGTCGCAGCAAAAAGCTACCACAAAATATGCATTTACGATACTCACTGTGAGCTTTCTTACTTCTGGCTTAAAATAATGAAAGAGAACACTACCTGTGAATGCATCCTTGAAGATCAGCATATTCACTGCAAATCCTCCTCAGATGTTCTAAAAATTTTTACCTAAAACGGAAAAAAAATTACAGAATATTTAGAGGAGACGATCACTCGATGAAACATAAGAAAGTCCTTAATGTTTGATCATGTGACCCAATTATCTGAGACAAATCACTCCACCCGATTCCTCTCTTATTCTCTCACCACTCAAGTCAAATACTTTCAATAACATGTCAGCACTTCCAAGGAGGCAGGACATTGACCCGACCTTCCCTCCTACTTCTGCTATGAGACCCAAACACCAAAACAATCGCAGTTATACTAACATATGAAAGCGAAGAAACTATGTCTATTGACAAGAAGCTCGAGGAAGTAGCAAATGATATTAACAGTTTTGAAAAACAAATACATAAAAATGGTAATATTTATTAATGAATCAACAAGATACAACAAATAATGCGTTCTCAATCGAAAAGTCCGAATCCCATATCTTCATCCTCCGATGATTCTTCCTTTTTAGGTTCTTCTTTCTTCGACGGTTCTTCCGATTTAGCAGATGGTGCAGATGGAACAGCAGCTACCGTTGCGGCTGCTGGTGCTGCAAACTTGGATGGATCTGCTAAGAATTCTTTGATCTGAAAAAAATGTAATAATAAGCAAATTGTGAAATGTAATAAACCACAATGAATGAAAGCACAACAAATTTACTAAAACTGTTCTAGGAAAACAGAAAAATTTTAACCTTCTCTGCTTCTTTCATTTCGATGTTGGCTTCCACAGCAATGGCTAACAAATTTTTAAGCGCATTTGCTATAGAATGTGGTACTGACACAACAGTTGGATGACCAATAGCCAATGAAACTGCCGCAACATTTTGCACTCCTTTCAAGAACTTCGCACGAATATCATCCGCTGTCATATCCAGAACTTCCGGTGCAAAAACAGTCCCATTTTCATACACCTGTTAAAGATCTTTATACGTTATTGATAAAAAGCACTCAACCTGATGATAAATACTACTGTTCGAAATAAATGAAAAGAAGAATGAAACGACCAAATGTCCCTTACAGAAATTTTCGAATTTCCAAAGTATTAAAAGCTTCACTAAAGTTCCATACCTGTCGCACAACAAGGCCATACGAGAATGGCATAATGTTCAACATATTCAAAAGAGCGGACTCAGAAGCTCCCACTTTTTCGCCAGTCTTGATTAAATGCACTTCATTCAGAATTTCAATAGTTCCACGAGAAATCTTCGTTGGAATTTGCAAAGCTTGGAAAAAAGACGTTTTCTCTGGTCCCATACCAGTATTCTGCGGTGGTAACTTGACATCACACGGTGCAATAGCACCAGCTTTAGCAGGAGCACCCTGAAACAAACGAAAGAATTCATTAAAATCATCCGTATAACAAATTTATAAAAATTTCTAACTCACTATGATATAAGTTGCGAGCGGATCTTCATAACTGGTATGAAATCTTTAGTACTTCCGAACACATTAAATAGTAGAAAAGTATTCTTAAATCTCACGCGTCGATTTTCTAATAATTTCGCTCGGATTTCACTCAGATCATCATTGGTGAAAACAAATCCAACATTCCCAACAATGTATGGTAGCAGCTTTTCTAGATCTGGATTGGTCTGCAGATGACCACGGATTGCTTTCCGAATCATGGTATTCTTACCCATCAAAATGTTGGCATGACCTGAATCCGAAGAATTAATTTATCAGCCAGAATCTATCACTATTGTAAAGAATAAATGATCATAGATCATGATAGCCTCATACCTCTCATAGCACGGCGAATTTCTTGCATTTGCTTTGAACCAACATTATCAACACCGACAATGAAACATTTCGGATATTCTTCCAATAATTCCACGATTTTCACAAAATAATTAGCTTTCCACGTTGCTTTGTCTTCCCTGCCCATCTTCTGTGAAGCAAGGATCGTTCTGAGCCTTTTTTCACGAACGTTTTAAAGACCTGAAATATTTTGCAAAAAATCACGAATTACACAAAATGAAACATATAAACAGCTGATCTCAACTAACTACTACAACAACTTGAAGACCTGAAACAACTTATCAGAAATAGAAAGCATGATAATGTGATGTAAGACCTCACTCAACTACCTCCTCAACCTCCGATCTCAGGAAACACATGAAGCACCCACCCATCCTGTACCTATAGATTATACACCACTATTTGCACATGCCAAACCATAAAAAGCACCGTAGTCGAATAACCGGCACGTGATTTTGCTGTCTAGAACAGCACAAAAGTAGAGGTGTAGGAATGTTTTCATTAGCAGAAGGAATTCGTAAAAAAAACTAATTAATTGGCTGGATAATAAGGTAGGGATAATTAATTCTTACTATAAGTGACAGTTGTACCTTTGAACTTTTTTTAAATTCTGTTAACAATTACACGAAGCTTGTAGCTTTTTTGTCTTCATATTTGCAATTTGCTCAATATCAGATAAAATTCAGTGATCTCATTGTACCTGTATCACAGATCTAATTCTATTTTTGAAAGACAGTGAAGAAACAAAATGTTGAATGTTATGGAATCTACTCGAATCATGCAAAAAGTTTACTCACAGTTCGTCCTTCATCTTAGAACATGCAAGTCAGATTCCTATTCATTGTTAAAATTTATAATCGTTTTCAGTAGGCACCCACTGAAAGGTGTTCAATGAACAGATTACCTTCGGAATAGATTGTCGTCAATTTTTCGCTTATTTTGAAAGATGTAACTGAATAGAGCAAAAAATCTGTTCTTTCTTTTTTGTTCAACCATTTGTCATTTCCGTCTCGTCGTTTCCGCTCGGTGACCTTTGATTTTATGATCACAATTTTTTGAATGTAAAAATTGGCCATAATTTTTAAACCATGAAGGAATGGTTTTTGAAATTGTGAATGAATAAGCCAGGAAATAATAATGACAGATGCTTTATCAGCATGATTTAACTTTCAGTTGAAACTGTTAAAAGAGATCAGAAATAAGACAGCTTTCAGATGATCCCAATTGCTAGAGAGAGCATGAAATTATATTAGTTTGCAGATTTTTTGCATTTTACTTTTCTTTGGACTAATCTAATTAGTGGTTCATAAATACTAACAATTAGTTTATTTGTTTTTAAATCGCAAAATATGGCTGATGTTTTATTTCGGCAGCCAGAGCGTAGAAGTCTAAAGCTGATGCTACTCGTTGATTTCTGACAGTAGTCATCATAGATTTGATAAATGCATAGTATCGCTGAATTTATTCATCAGCTCATTTTCAACAAATAAAATCAATAAAACACTTTCTCAGATAAATCTTTGTTTTTAAGTAATTAGAAAAATTCTTTTTAAAGTTTGACTTATACATTTGTTTTCCAGGCTGATCAATCATTCAGATGATCCATTTTGAATATCGTTGAAATGATCAATTATACTATCTGATATTAGCATCCATATTCATCATTAGTTGACCCAAATATACTTTTAATGCTGTACAGTAATCATTTGTCATAGCTCTTTTCTCATTTACAAAATTCTTTCCAAACTCAGTTAGGTCTAATCTAGTAAATAATTCATTTTCTTGTTTCTTATTTTATCACAATCTTATTTGCTTCATATCTTGTATTTCGTATATTAAGGCAAATTTTTAAGCTATGGTTTCGAGCATCAAATGGAAGTTCCAACGAATGATATTATTAAACTCTACATAAATAACAGTACCACAAATTAAAACAATTATGACAGCATTATAGTGACAGGACTCTTTGTCACTCACGCTTACACATAGAATGCAAATTCTTAAAATGCAATTAAAGAATGCTAAGAATAGCTTTGATAGACAGATTTTTTGAGTGATGAAACTCGTCAGGTTTCGTACAGATAGGTATTCCGTCACAATCAAAAATTATAGCTAATTAAAAAAAATAAAGCTACAGATTTTGTCATTTTTTAAAAGACAAAATAGAACAAAAGAACTTCGAGGCTTTGTTCCGTGGAATTCTTGTGTTGAAATTCCTCGATCCATTTCATCCTCGTGAGATCTTATGATGTGATCGAATTTACTAACTGATGATCGCTTGTTTTAGAAATCTTTGAATCCACAAAAATTCAATTGTACCTTTAAGAATTTTATAATTTAGCAGATTTCATCCATATTTTGAAAAATGTATTTCATTAAATTCATTCAATATTCAAAATTCAATCAAAGCTAAGATGCAAAATCAATTCTTAAACCAAATTAGCGAAAGATTTTAAACTAAGAAACAAATACTTAAAAAATGACCAGTCTGTAAATAAAATACGAATGCATATATGACGAATATAGGAGAACAACAAGTCGAGCATAGCCATAGGCAAATTTCATCCAAAAAGAATTAAAATTATTCGAAAATTTCAGATCATCAAATTTCTGATTGATTCATCTCATAATATAAGCCTTTCTCTTCCATCAGTTCCTGATGCGTACCTATAAGATTATCACTAATAATAAATAAGCAAATAAAATTATCAATAATGCAAAGTACAATAAATGAATTTTTAAAACTATCCAAAGATTGCAACAGGTTCACAAATTTTCTTCGCCAGTTTCAAATAATTAATTTTAGCAAGAGTAAACCTTGTTCAGCAATTTCGCCTTCAACTAATACATAAATCATGTTCACTGATCTTATCGATGATAAACGATGCGCCACTGAAAAGATGAATAAATTTGCTGGGATTTCAATATACACTAGTAATTCTTTAAAATTAAATATAACAAAAAAATTTCCAGCTAACTCTAATTAAAAATTTTATTAGCTGATTACACTTACCATAAATGCAAGTACAATTTTTGCTAACTGATTCGAGAGCACTTTGTACTGCCTGCAAATCAAGAAAGATAATTAAAACGAAAAAATATTGGCGATCTTTTCTACAATCTCGAAGATCTAATTTTATTCAATGGAATTTAGTAAAATTAAAAAAAAAAAAAAGAAAGCATTTAAAAAGATCGGATCCAGCAAACCTTTTCGCTTGCTGTATCCAGCGCAGCAGTAGCTTCATCAAGTAGCAACACCCGCGGTTCTCGTATTATCGCTCGAGCAATTGCAATCCTCTGTCTTTGACCACCGGAAAGTTGAGCTCCAAATTCGCCAACTTCAGTATCATAACCCTAAAGTTACCAATTCAAAAACCAAATAGATTTTATATTAAATGGATAAATGATGATTAGCAAATCAGAATCAAGTCAGCTATTAAATATATCTGAATTTCAAGCAAATGATGAATATCAGTTCTAATTCAAAATATTATCCATTTCTCCAACTCTTACTTGTGGTAATGATAAGATAAAGTCATGTATGTTTGCAATTTTTGCTGCTTCTATAATCTTTTGTTCGGTTGCTTCATCTTCCGGTAAACCGTATCCTATAAATAACATACACTTCTAAATGCTTTTCCTGAATCAAGAAAGTTTTAAGAAAGAAAAGAAACGAAATTTTCGGTTATCTAATTATCTCCTATTTGAACTGCAAACGAAATTTTCAGGAGTTGTTTAATTATCTCTTATTTGAAATGATATTTCTTAAATTCTCTTAAATTTAAATTTTCATTAAAAAACAAATTATGGCCAGCAGAGAGTGATCTCTTTTTTTCAATCATAAATTAATTAATTAGAAGAAATCGGGATTTTATATTTTATATAATCAAACATTTACTGCTATATATATATATATATATATGTGGCAAAACTTTACATGCATACAAAAACAGTTATTTAATTATTTAATTGTAGTTGATATTAGAAGACACTATTTGCTATTAAAAATAATCTTCACCAATGTTTTCGCGAATCGTAAATGAAAAGAGTGTTGGTTCTTGTCCAACTGAAACAACAACACGCCTTAGATATGCCGGATTGATTTGTTTTATGTTGTAATTATCAATGAGCTGTAAATTTATAGTTATTTAATTTTTAAAATTGTGTAAGCTATTTTTTAAAAAAGTGAAAATTATCATTATCAAAATTATCAAAATTATTATCAAACAAATTATCAAATTATTATCAAAAATTATTATCGAAAAAAAAGGAGTGAAAGAACTTAAACATACCACTTCTCCCTTTGTCGCACTATACATACGTTGAAATAGCGCTAAAATGGAACTTTTTCCAGAACCTGATGGACCAATGATAGCTATTGAATCACCTGGTCTAACCTAAATAATCCACTGGTAACATCGTTTATAAAACTTTTTCTTTGTCTTAAAAATGCTTTAATAATGATTCGTTGAAATTTGACAACCACTGTAAGAGGAAAAGTAACAAAGTAACAATTTAACAGTAGCAAATCTTACTTTTAAAGTAAGATTACGAAGTACAGGATAAAGAGGTCGAGATGGATAACGAAATTCAACATTTTTTAGCATTAATCGAGCAATAGTTTTCTGGAATAACTTTTTTAAAATATATTTTAAAGATTAAATTAAGACAGTAACACATATATATCTTTGGAATAGAAAACGCTTAAAAATATTTTAGTGTTTCGTTATGAGACAAAACAGCCTTCGCGATCATTACGAAAGATTTCGAACACTCCTGAGATAGCCAGGATTTATTTTAACCTACAGGTATTTAATTCTACCGAAAGATTCAAATTTATCTGTTAAATTCTGATTTGCAGACTAACCGGTCGTAATCCCTCATCACTCAGATTATTCATATCAACAGCGGTTTCCTTAATAACATTAAGAATATTTCCGGATGCTACTCGTGCTTTCGATATATCATTCACTGATGCTATTAGTTGACTGATAAAATTAGCACCAAACTGCGTCAACAATACAACCCTGAATTTAGTATTTTTAAATGCATGAATCATTTTCTCCAAATATTATCTCTAACTCCTAATGTTATAATACTTTAGGAGTTAGAGATAATAATAATAATACATGCTTAATAATACATGCTTCTATGAATATGATTATAATACATGCTTAATTTATCAAACCTAAAAATTCTTCAACAAACAGATATAAAGCATTATGCTGATAATCATATTCATAGAAGAGATCGAGCATTTCATACTAAATATTTCTGAAAAGAATTTCAATTTTTTTTAATATCAATTTTTCAATTTCTACTTTTACGCGAAATAAATTTTTGTACTTTTATAAAAAATCATAGCGACTTTTCAAAAATTTGAAATGGATTTCGATATTTCTGAAATTCGATATTGGTTGATGAATGTTGCACGTAGCTAATCCCAAATCTCTCTCTATTTGAAACATTTGTCTTGAACATTTAGAAATAAAAATATACATTTCAAACCTTAAATAATTGAAAGGTGTAATTTCGTTGCTTAGCATCATAACTTTTCCAAAGTGCAACGTTATTGCAATAAGAATATACATGAAAGAGAACTGACATGCAAATACGAATGAACTAATGCAAGATTGTCTTTTCATCGTTCTGCAAGTAGAACTGTTGTTAATTGATATCATCCATTTCATTTTATAATACTGATAAAACTACTGAAGAGTACTTTATCAAAATAATTGATAATAGCCGTTCTATTCAAATTACAGTAATAAATTTTCATCAGTTTACTTTTGCAGAGGTTTTAGTGTTTCGTAGAAAATATTATTGAAATGTTCCTGAAGTGTATAAGCTTTAATTGTACTCATATTTGATAGCACCGTAGTTGCCAGCTGAAAATAATTGGAATTTAATCACTGATATGATTCAAACTAGCAACTAGACATATAAAATAATTAATTAATAGCTAGAAAATAAAAGTTTCATTTTTTAAGAGTTAAAATTTTTAAAAATATCAAACATTAGCAGCTTTTTTCTCCTGATCGGCCATTTGTCGTTGTCGTTTACTTGTTTCACGTAATTCAACTAAACGAAAGATAAAAAAAGCTGGAAATTGAAAACCGCAAATGAGTGCTAACTTCCAGTTTATTAGCAATGCAATAGTAACCGATACCGTAGAGCAAATAATCGCAGGAAGAAGTAAATCCAACTTATCGCCAAGAGTCTGAAATTAAAAACAACGAAGATGTTATCATTGGTCAATACAAAATGATATGATACATCATGAATAACTCTAATAAAATTATACAAGACTGCTACTACTTTGATAAATTGTTGCAATATTTGAAGTGCAGAAATGCCTTAAGTTTGATGTAATAGGTCACTCAAAAAATCATCTTATTGATGAGTGATCTGGAATTCATAAATTTAATCACCCTATTAAGTGTCGCAGTATCGGACATCAATTTATGAACTAATCTTCCTGGTGTATTAGCTTCTTCATCGAAATGTGCTGCACCATGTCGTAATATCTTCCGAAACATTTTATTTCGTAAGTAACCACAAAAACCATGTCCATACAATGCGATGAATAAACGCTACAACAGTTGCATAACTAGATTTTAATGTCAAAATTGAACAATTTAAAAGTGTTAGTAGTAAAATGAATTATGTAGTAGCTGAATAAAATGTAATAGCATTTAACTGATTAGATTTGAAATTTGAAAAATCATATTTTGATCAAAAATTTTTTTTAAAATCAAAATCTGTTAAAATTAAATCAATTTAAAAATAACCCCAACAGCTTCGAACATTGTTTTAATAATAATTAGAGCTGTATAAATAGCTCCTGTAATAAACACTTGTTGAGCTGTTTCTTCGTTTGGTACTAATGCTATCTGCAAATTAATCATTTAATTCATTGAGTAACATGAAATAGTAATTGAATTCTGAAAATAGAATAATTGCTAATAGTTTAAAAATATTAACTATAAAATAGAATAATTGCTAATAGTTTAAAAATATTAACTATAAAGTAGAATAATTGCTAATAGTTTGAAAATATTAACCATAAAATAGAATAATTGCTAATAGTTTGAAAATATTAACTATAAAATAGAATAATTGCTAATAGTTTAAAAATGTTAACATTATCAGTAAATTTTAGCTTGAAAATGTTAACATTAGCTATCAGTTTGAAAATGTTAACATTATCAGTAAATCTTTGAAAAGAAAAATTTCAAAGAGTTGAAAAAGAAGGATAATCGAAAAGTGATAATAAAATAGACTAACCTCAAGTACTGATGATACTTCAAAACAAACAAGGAGGAAAAAGAATCCACGTAAAATGGTCACCGGAATGGCTACACTCAAATGTGTATAACCATCTCTGTAGCTTTTAATCAAATTCCAAATGGCATTAAAATTGGTCGTTTTTACGGAGAACTTAAATAATTAATATTTGAACATATTTAAGTACTATAATTCCAAATTTCAAGCCTATAATTTGAAAGCAATCATTGGAGTAGCTTGATGATATTTTTGGAGTAGCCTGATAATATATAATTTGAGGAAAAAGGATAATTTTGAGAATTGCGATTACATAAACGATTATTTTGCAAAAATTACAATTTCATCATTAGGCATTTGAGATACAACAATCCTATCAAATCCTATTAATGTACATAAGATTTGATAGGATTGTTATATCTCATATGCCTAATCTAATATAAATCTCTGTATCTAAAATGCCTAATATTAATATAAATCCTGGATTTCATGTTTATTTCAACTTTATTTCAAATAAACAATCATCTATCGAGAATAGGACAACTTCTAACTTTGTTAATAAATCAATTTTTGCACATGATCATGTTGGACGATTATTTTCTGATTGCTTTTATTTCAATAAGTAAAAATCATATCGTAAGAAATGAATAGCTTTACCGAAGTTTGATCATCGTAATCTTTATCATCCATTGCTACTTCCATAATATTTGTCTTAAATGGTGTATCCATTCGAGTGCGCTTTTTTGACATTACAGGTAAGGCTAATTTAGCACGATCAATACTGAGCACAGAATATGATTTACCAAGTCGTTTATGAGCGCCTAATGATGAACGAGCCCATGCGCGACGATATGTTTCAGCATCCTAAAATATTATTATCCATCAGTAACTTAAACTTACATATATCATGTATTAAAATAATGGGATTAATTAAATCAATGACTTAATTAAATCAATAATGAATCGAATAATTAAATTATCACTCATTTGATTGTAATTTGGAATTTCAAAAATATTCATAAAACAAATGTTCTTTCGTTAATAATTATTAATAGCTTACAATTAAGATTGTAAATAATCGATGAAGAAAATGATAAGCGCTTACAATAAAATCTGTTGGTGTCATAGAGAAATGAGTAGCTAAGGCAGCTTTCGCTCTCGAACGTGGATTTACCGCTAATTTATCGACAGCTAAAGAATCGAACTTCTGATCGTTGTACATTCGATAAAATTTACCATCCTTGTTGCTTAATAATTCTTCTGGACTTCCTTCTTCAACAATCTGTCCACTTTCTAGAACGATTATACGATCCGCATTTCGGACAGTACTCAGTCTAAAATATAACTCACTTAATTCCAATAAAAGCTAACAATAAAATTAAAAATTATCTGTCGAAGATACTGTAGCAATTGAAAATACCGTAATATGAAGGAAATATATGAATATTCATAGGATGATAAAAACTTTTCCTTTCAGTCATGTTTTCTTAGAAATCACATGTGTCAAAGGTCAAAACATTTAGAGTTATTATTAGCGCTCTCAGAATGTGTCAATATTTCCATACTGGAAAGGGATCCCTGAACAATTAAAATAATATATCTCAACCTATTTTCATCTCATATGCTTAATTGCTTAGGCAAGCTTCACGTCACAAAATCATATGTGATTTCGAGCACTAGAAAACTTAACTGATCGCGGTAAATTATATTCAACCAGCTAAAACTACTATAGTTTTATCCTAGAATCAGTAAATTCCACACTATTAAAATAGTGAAGTACCAAGCTTCTCAACTAAATGATATAACTCTTCTTCATACATTTTAATTACCGCAGAATATTACCGATGGGCTATTGTGATGGTCGTAACACCTTGACTGGCTGCATCGATAGCCTTCTGTACCTCAACTTCGTGCTTCGTATCTAACGCTGATGTCGCTTCATCAAATATCATTACAGATGGATCACGGATTACTGCACGTGCGATAGCTACTCTTTGCTTTTGACCACCGGATAATTGCAGGCCTCTTAAAATATGAAGGAATTAAATAATGACCTTATATTTAGCAAATTCGATCTATCAGAAATCCAACTTTCAACTTTGTTCAATTAATATTGATAAAGAATTTTCAAACATAATCAATAAACACGTATGAAAAGTTATATCCTATAAAATACAAAGTTAAAAGTTATCGAGTAATCGGATATGTAAGATTTTTTTTTTCCAACGGCGATAAATTTTAAAATAAATAATAAGAACCTGTCACCAACACGAGTTTTCATGCCTTCAGGTAAAGCACAAATAAATTGCCAAGCTTCTGCTTTTCGAGCTGCTTCATTAATTTCTGCTTGTGTTGCATTTAAACGTCCATATCGAATATTGTCGCTTATTGTACCTATAAAAGTATCAAATACTTATGGTACCTAAAAATAGATATGTAAATCGATATCATAATTTATCTCATTTAGCTTCTCATATAATTCCTCATCGTTATTAGCTATAAAATCTTAACTACTAAAATTATTCAACACAAACCATCAAAAAGTACAGGTTCCTGACTGACTAAACCAAGTTGAGCACGTAAATTGTCAGGATTGAGTCTTTTCAAATTGACACCATCCAATGTAATCTATGATTGTTATATTAATTTATATAATTAAAAAATGAATTATGATATTCTCTTTCTTTCTCTCTCTCTCCCTCTCCCTCTCTCTCATTTTATTATACTTTAATACTTTATTATACTCTCTTATTTTATTATACTTTTTTATACTTCATTTTATTATACTTATAGTATAGGAAATATCATTTAGATAGTACCAGACGGAATAAAAGACAGCTTCAAAAATACCAACAGTTCCATTGGTTGGATCGTAAAATCGTAATATAAGCGCCGTTAATGTACTTTTACCAGATCCACTTGGTCCAACAATTGCAACATGTTCACCTGCTGATACAGTAAACGATACTCCTTTTAGTACCTATAGTTTTTTTAAAAGGAAAAAAACTTTTATATATTATAAAATTTTACTGTATTAATTTAAAATAAGTTAGATAGGTTAAAAATTTAAAATAAAACTAACAAGATAAGTTATATAATATTAAATATATTAATTATTTAATTTCTGAACTTAATTAAATCAAAAAAAATTAATAATTTAGAAATGATGAAGTTTTAAAATTTGTTAATTTTAATAATTGATTAATTAAGTTTAGAAAATACCTCAACATCTGGCCTACTCGGATATGCAAAATTAATATCATTGAATTCAATAGCACCATATCCACGTGGTGCTAACATACTTTCGCTATTATTATTGATGCAACATTCAATATTTGGTGTCTCAGTTAAAATTCCATTCATTTCATTAGCATTTTGTCGAGCGGTTGATGCACCGGTCATATGGAAACCAATACTAATCGATGTAACACACATGTATAGCATATTGATTGCTAACTAAATGATCGATATTACCTGTTTCATCATAGCTTTCAACATAGGTTGGAAGTGTGACAATATTAATATGTGCATGAATATGAACATCTTATATATCATATCCAAAAATTGATATGTTTTATTGTAATGTTGTAGAGTTTATTATTCAGAAAAAGAAATGATCTTTATGAATTATGTCATAATAATAATTAATCATTAATGATAATAAATTAAATTATTATTTCATGATTTAAGTTATCTAATAAATTATTGATTAATTTATCAATATACTGCAGCAAGACGACCAGGATTGGCATCATCAACACGCCACATTCCATAACATAAAGCTGCGGTAAAAATGAATTCAGTTAATAAAACCTAAAAAGAAAATTATCAAATATTAAACGAAATACATTAAAATTATTAGATCAATTTTTTTTTAATTAAATTATTGATTATTTTATAGTTTAATTTATTTAATTAAATTATTGATTATTTTATAGTTTAATTTATTTAATAAATTACTAATTAATTTATAATTTATCCAGCATAAGACAAAATCAATTTTTCTTAATCTCTCATATTTGATAGTTTTAAAATAATTTTTTTACATTTACATCAATCATATAAAATGAATGGAATTTTATTTTGAAGCGTAAATTTCTCCTCCTATGATATTGATAAGTTCAATTGTGATAACGCATTTTAACCTTTGAACTACTTAAAAATAGAAAAGAGATGAAAGATCAAAATGAAACATCGAATTAGAGGAAAATTTATAAAATGTAAAAAAAATTAATTTCATTTTTATTAATTAGCTATACATACATATATTTACATATCATAAAATTATTATACTTACCTGTGCAAGTGCATCATAAATAGATGAAGCGGTAAGACGTTGTTCTGTCATTCGATTTAATTCAATTGTTAATCGCTCATACCTAAATAATATTTGCGACTATTAATCGCTCATACATAAATAATATTTGCCATTATTAATCGCTCATAACGAAATAATATTTGCAACACCTAAACAATACTTGCGATTGCTAACCGCTCATAACGAAATAATATTTGCGATTATTAATCGCTCATAACGAAATAATATTTGCAACACCTAAACAATATTTGCGATTGCTAACCGCTCATAACGAAATAATATTTGCGATTGTTAATCGCTCATAGCGAAATAATATTTGCGATTGTTAATCGCTCATAACGAAATAATACTTGCGATTGCTAATCGCTCATAACGAAATAATATTTAAGATTGTTAATCGCTGATAATAAAATTTTTAGAGAAATAATACAACAATCTTACTTACTTATTAATTGTTTGTTTTTGTGCAGCAAATGCGATAACAGTTCGTATGCATGAAAATGTCTCTTGCACCAAATTTGTCATTTTAGCTAATAATTTCTGTTCTTCATCGCGTGTTTTACAAAACCACTAAAAGAATAATACTATAAGAAATTAATTAAAAGAAAATAAAGCTGTATCGGAATTGATCTAAAATAGATTAAATTCAGGTATATCATTTATTTTAAATTGCCTAAATTCTAACTTAAATAATTTTGTTAGTAAAAAATGAAGCAATATTTAATAACATTTAATGAAATCAAATAATGAATTTCGATGAACGAAAAATAGATTTAGAATATTATAATTTTTGTTATGAATAAATTATAGCTATTAAGTTTATCATTTCGTATCGAATACTTTTGTCTGCAAAATATTATTGATCCTCTTTGCTTGAATGAAAAAATATTACGATACATAAGCATAAGTGATAAAAAATATTGATAATCAAAATGTAATTGATAAAAAATGCTAATGATCAAAATGTACTGATAAAATATGATTGATAAAAAATGTTAATAACCGAAATGTACTGATAAAATATAATTGATAAAAAACGTTAATAATCAAAATGTTTTGGTAACATTTTGCAAATTATTGCTGTATTAATTATATTACAGGTAAACATGAGAGATTAAAGTAAAAAATAAACTTTGCTAAAAATAAGCCTTGTTCCAATAAGTAATGGTAGTGCGGCAAACATCACTAAAGTAACATCCCATTGAATGTAGAAACAAACTGATGAAGTGACTAATAAATAGGCGCAAATGAAGATAACCATAGGAACATGATCGGCGATACCTTGATATATCGAATCTGCATGGCTAAAATATACAAATAACAGCTACGATATTTCTATTCTATAAAAATGAAAATTTTGAATAGGAAGATAAATTTAAGTAAAACAAAAGAATGAAATATAATTTGAAAGGTTAATTGATGAAATAAAAAAACAAACTTACTCATGTAACATCGAAGCTACTTGTCCGGAATGTCGTGATTCAAGCCATGCAACATCCATGTGCAATAACTTCCGAATGTAAGCTTTTTTAACTCGAAAAACTTGCCTGATACCAGAAACTTCCCATGCTAAGCGCTATAATTGGCGTTCATTAGCTAATTTAATTTAATCAATTGTATTAAATTAAATTAGCTAATAAAATAATTTCAAATGATTTATAAAAAATAAGGAGGAAATGCAAATTGAATCATTTGAATGTAGCACAATCATGAAAATTTAATGCTATCAATGATTGAAGCGATAACAATGTTTCAAACTGAAGTGATAGATAATGATAAAATTTTGATGAAATAGTCGTATCAAAAGCTGCAACAATTATTAGACGAAATTAAATCTAATTTATTCGATTTCGGATTAGAATACAAACATGTTTCATACGGTAGAGTGTATCTATTCTAATGGTGATGTCAATTTCATGATATTATCAGGATATGTTAGAAAGTGATAAGAAGAAAAAATGATATGTACCTGAAAGAAAGCAGCAATAAATGTAGCAACGGATAATGATAACATCATAATAAATGCTGGTGTAGCAGAATATTCAAAATGTACATCTATTTGCGATTGTCGCATCGAATTATCGGCCAAATCGGTAAAGTTAGACGTATCAAAACTATTATTACTGCTTAAGCCAAGTTCAATTTTGTTCGAATTAAATGATTCGAAATGTTTTATCTTCTCCAATTTATACTGCTAAAATTAAATAATGATAAATCCCTTATTTGGAATGCATTTATTAAATTTCAATATCATCAGGATCCATTCCCAAGTAACCGGTTTTATCGTGTAAATGGAATAATTTGATGTCGTGCCGTATTACAAGGAGAGATCAAAAAACATCTTTTTTGTTTTTGAATATTTCAAATTTCACATTTTATTTCAACTGTCATGAAATGAAATCAATTTGGAATTTGTTAAATTGAAAGTGATAATTTTGCATTTATTAGTTTTTCCCATAATTCTTCAATTTCTCATAGATGTAAAAATGAAGAAAATATGCGCGGAAAACTATCAAATTCAATAAATCTTTAAAATTTGATTTCTTTATTTCAAATATTTGAAATTGAATTTTCACATCATTTTCATTGCGTGTTCATTTTAAATGACATGCGACGTATCTCAGTCATTTCATCGAAAATATATTTTCGCCAAAGATCAAAAATGATTAATAATTGTGAAAATTGATAAATATGATAGATTTAATGTGTTATCACTTAGTTGTTATCACTTAATGTTATCATTTAATGATAATGATACGTGCTGATGTATCATTCGTACAGTAATTGCTAATTATTTCTTTGATGCAATAAAATATAAAATAATTTGATAGGAAAGTTTTCTTTTTAGAAAAATTCTTTTTGCTCGATGGAATAATATTGATTTTCTAATAAATGTTATAAAACAAATGCTGTCGGAAATGATATAATTACATCATTTCCTATGCTCAATTTAGACAAATATGAACTTTAACCTTTTCATTACTATAAAAGAGTATATTTGACGACGCAAATTTATTTTCACATAAATTTGCGTGTCAAATATACTCTTTTATATGTGTTGAATCAACAATGTAAAGAAAGAGGAAGCAAAATTTGCACATAATTAATTACTTGTTTAATTAATAGCTATTGATATGATAAAAGATTTTGCATTGGAACACTGCTCGAAATAAAGATTTTAATGCTATTCGAATTTTAGGCTATTTCTAATTTTGTAAAGACATCAGTAAATTCTACATGAATTGTTGCAAATGTCAAATTTTGATAGGAAAAAATAATTGCTGCAAAATTTGTTAATTACTAAATTTGATAAGTTTATTAATTTAATTTTATCAATTTCATTTTACTGATAATTTTCAACTTAGTGTTAATCTTTTGCAGCATAAAATTGTTGTCAGATTAAATTTTGTTTCAATAATTAAAAATAAAATTGTTATTTGAAAAATTCATTTAACCTCACGAACGATTGAAATTGAAACGAAATCACCCATTACAAGCCATACAAAAGGTAGAAGAATAGCTTGAACAAATGCCAGTATCAATCCAATTATCATTAGCTATAATTCAGTAATTCGATATCTTATCAGTTAAATCAAATATTTCAGAAAATTTATATTTAAGCAAAAAAAAAAAATTCATTTAATAAATTGATAAATTTTAAGAATAGTTAAATTGAAATGATTAACCTGAATATCAACTTTATCTGCAAAACTATAAAGACTCCAAAATTCATTGATCTTATTTGATCGATTTTTATCACCCATTGTTATCTGAAACTTTTCAACTTATTTTCAATGATCACTCAACACTGTTAACCTTCTAACCTTTTCCAAACTACTATATTTTCTTCTCATAATTAACTAAAAACAATTGATTAATTTATTTTTCAAACAATCAAATGAAAGCAAATGAATAATTTTAAAAAATTATTCATAATATTTGTAAGACTATTATCAATATCAATGATTAATGTTACTGAATTTTATGAATATCTGTTTTATGAATAATTTAATGAATATAAGAAAAGTTATCATTAAATATAGCAAATATCTGTCAACAATAAATTGATGATTAAGAAATTAAAATAACTAAAAAAGTTTGCAAAGAATTTATCACTAAGAAAAGTTATCACTAAATATCATTATCAATCTAAAAAGAAAATTATTACATTTTCCAGAGATTGATAATAATCATATTATTATTTCAATCAATGAATTTTATCTTATCAAATACTAATTATTTTAAAAGTTAAAATTAAATTATTTAACTTTCTCTATTAGATTTTAGTACAACAAACATTTATTGATAATATTATAAAAATACGAATAATATCTGATAACGATAAAATGATAGTAAAGGTCTCATTTTTTTTCATTTAATCAGTTCGATAGTATAAAATGAGAAGAAATTGGGTTACTTGTGGAAATGCTCAATCAAACCAGAAATTCAATAATCAAGATAGAAGCGTTGGTGATAACGATGGTAAAAGATGATATAACCCGTTTAACCCATCTTCTTTTTATTCTCCTTATACAACGGATGTAGTGGTGATGGTGGTGGTGGTGATGGATGGTGATAGTGATGACAGCGATAGTAATTGCTGATGATTTTCCGCTATGAACAGTCAAATTTCATCACATCATTTTTCTTCTTCTTCTTTTGCAATGAAATAATTGCGCCTAAAAATTCAACTTGTGATAATTGATAATTTGATATGAATTCGAAGACATTGATGATTCTTTGCATTGAATGGACAAATGCGCAAATGGTTTTAAAATGAATGTATCAACACTTATAATAAAATCCTTACATTTATATGTCAATATTACTGCCCGAAAATTTAAATATTGCAATATTGATAAAATCAATCTTATCAGCTCCTAATTAATTCATCTATTAATTGCAAAATTTTCAATTAACTGTCAACATAAACAAAAAATATACAATTGTTATGAAAAAATGGCATGTATATTGCATGTACAACTAAAAAATTGCATCTATGTTGCATGTACGGCTAAAAAATGGCATGTATATTGCATGTATAACTAAAAAATGCATGTATATTGCATGTATAACTAAAAATTGCATTGTATGTTGCATGTACAACTAAAAAAATCGCATCTATGTTGCATGTACGGCTAAAAAATGGCATGTATATTGCATGTATAATTAAAAATTGCATTGTATATTGCATGTATAACAATATAACAACATTTATCATCAACATTTTTATTAACGATAGTTCTCCTGCATTTAATGATAATTTAAAAATTATCACTTTTCATTTCAAATTTCCTCCTAACCAATCTGCTCTGTTAGATTCATATTTGAAGAAATGATTCAATCAAAATATCCATTTCCCTGATTTCACTTATCAATCTATCTAATAGAATCAATAAATCAATATACTGGTATGTTATTTTTTGCATAATTATTAATTTAATAAATATATCGTTAAGGAATCGATTTAAATCATTTTGCAAAAATGTCGCTTCTGTTACAAGTGATCGTAATTGTTTGTTTCCCAATTTATTTTGCTGGTTAGTTTTTCATTAAACATAAATTAAAGTATTTGTTAAATGTTGCACATATATCGAATTGTTTTTTACAACATATTTTCATCAATGTCTATTTGTTTAATAAATTTTTTAATTTGTAAAATTCTTTTATTTTAATTTACTTTTTTAATTAATTGAATAGAAAGAATTAAATTTATTTATTTAACGATAATATGATATTATAATTTGCATTTGACAAAAATTAACAAAATAAAATTTTTTAGAAGATACAAAACCAAAACTTCGCTATTGTGTTTTTAAAGGGAAAGCAATAATATCAACGAAATCTTACTGTAGCGCTACTGTCACACTTCCAAGCTATGATGAAACAGGTTTTATTTTAATTATACAATTTATTATGATATCAAAAATATTCGGCATGTATCCGAATTTTACGCTCAGTTTAATTTAGTATTGAACAGGAAAGCAAATCGAAAACACACATATGATATTAGGCGTATTTTAAGTTTTGTTTCATTTAAGGAAATGCTTTTTAGATTAAGTGATAAATAATTTGAAGTTAATTAATTAACTCGAAATTAATTAATTTTATGACTAATTTAAAAGAAATAAATAATTTATGATACTTTTCAACTTAAAAATATTAAATTTGTGAAATTATCGATTAATTAAATGATAAATTAAATTAAGAATAGTATATGAGAAAATTAGCAGAAATTAAAGGAAATGATTTGAAAAGATTGTAAAAAAGGAAACATAAATTTTATATGACACTTTTTTTTTTGTTTATTCAATTATTGTTTTTCATAATTATTCTTTAATTGTTTTTTAATTACAACAAAAATTTTTACAGACTTAGAAATTTCTCTCTATCAAAATGATACAAAGTCTGATATAATGGATGATTATTGTTCAACTAAAAGAGAAATTCAAATTGGAGTGATAAATTTTCTAGTGCGACATTTACTTCTTTCCACGTATTTTCATCATTTATCATTTATATTAGCATAAGTTTACACTTTTAAAGTTTCTTAGTTTAAAAAAAAGAAATGTCAAAAGTTTCACGAAAAAAAAAAGACGATGATTAATTTTTCAGAATTCTGGAATTGTTGGCAGCCAATTCTTTATATGTTGCATTGATTGTGAATTATTTGGTTTGACAAGTGAAGTAAATTTGCTTTTTCTTCCTTCTCATTTATTTGAAAATTTTAATTACAGTAAATTACAGTGCTGAAAATTTAAGTTACAATAAATTACAGTTGCGTAAATTTAAATTGCAATAAATTACAGTTCTAAGAAAATTTAAATTACAATAAATTACAATTGCGTAAATTTAAATTACAATAAATTACAGTTCTGAGAAAATTTAAATTACAATAAATTACAATTGCGTAAATTTAAATTACAATAAATTACAGTCCTGAGAAAATTTAAATTACGGTAAATTACAGTTCTGTAAATTTAAATTACAGTAAATTCCAGTTCTGAAAATTTAAACTACAGTAACTTATAGTGGAGATTAATTTTTTTTAAAAAAAAATCTCTTAATATTGATAGTAATTTTTTGATATAATAAATTTTTACAAAATCTAAAATTCTAAATTTACTCTTTGGATAAGCATTACTTTACGCTAGATGATTAATTTCTTACAGAATTTATTATTAAGGAAATAAATGAAATTGTAATATCAAATTTAAATTATCAAAAATAATTTTTCAGTTGGATAAAAAATTGGTATGGTTAGCATTGAAAATTTTATTTATGACAAATGGTATTTGTATACGAACAAATAATGATTATGGTTTTTGTGAGGAATATCCAAATTTCCTTCCACAAATATGGTTCTCATGTCCTGGCCTAAATTCCAATCAGGTTTCCCTTTCTCGCCTAATTTAAATTACACTAAAAAGTTCATTAAAATTTTTCATACAAACTTAAATGTTTAGATAATATAGATACTAAATGCGTTATATTTAAATATATAATTAGCATAGCAAATAAAATTAAAAATTTAATAGTATTTGCAAAAGTTTCAACAAAAAGAAAATTCTTACAGTAATACTGCAAACGAATTGAGAATTTAAAATGTTCAAAACTAAAATTAATCTTTTCAAAAATTTTTGATAATTTGTTGAAATTATAAAATGATAAAATTTAAAACAAAAGACCGTGTGATATTGGAAAAGTTTTAGCAAATAGTTATTAATTTATTAGTTTTCATAACTTTATAAGGTGATAATTAATTGGCGGTAAAAACAAAAAGGAAATGATTTTTTTATTATTTAGATATTAAGCTATCCATTTTATGCACCATGCATGTTTCACTTAGATAGTTATTCAACAACGAGTATTTATGCTGGATTTGCTATTTATGCATTCTTGGATCAAACAAAACGTGAACAGGTAATATCATTTGAAAGAAATTAATTTGTATAATATAAAATTTAAAAATTAGTAAAACAAAAACTTGATAAGTTTTGAACTCTCAAAATTAATCTTATGATCATTAATATTATTGATAAGAAAACAATCTTCTAATCATTACTTATTTAAACTAATGAACTAAAAAAACTATCAGTAAAAATTGTGAAAATAAACTTTTTTAATTAAGTAATGATAAAATATATAAATTTTTGTTTCAAATTTTAATAATTGAAATTACTAAATAGGCAATTAATATAAATTAATTTATATTTAATCTATGCAAAAAACATTTGCTACAGATCTTTGGCACAGATAATATGATATGCAATCCGTATCCATATGATTCAGAATCTTATCAAATTTTCTCCAAGGTTTCGTAACAATAAAAATTTATGAAATTATATTGTATCATAGTTTACTTAACTACTTCTTCTACAAAATATATCGCAATTTATTGATTAATCATTTAGCTCTAAAATACTTTCTCTACAACTATTTCCGTTTTTTCAAATTTCCGGTTTACACCACTTTTTCCGGTTTAACAATTTCTGCAAAAAAAAAGATTAATCTAATATTTTCCATTAATTTTTCTTGTTAATAATAAATGTGTAATTGCTTAGAGTTAGAGAAATATTGAAAGCATTCAAATGAATTTAAAATTAGAATAATTTCACCTTTTATTTAGTAAGGTTAAAGTTTCAATAATTATTTTTGTTCTTATCATTTTTTCCTGAAATTGCTTACCTCAAAAAATTTGCATAAATTAAAAATTCAAAAAATTACAACCACTCAGATTACTACAAATCATTTTGGGAGAGATATAACAGAAGTAAGCATTTTTAACAGCTAAAAATATCTTTGTCATTCCATTTCATTTTTTACCTAAAATTGCTTAACACAAAAATTTGCATAAGTTAAAAATTCAAAAATTTACAACCACTCAGATTACCACAAAGCATTTGGAAAGGATTTACTATGAATAAGCATTTTCAACAGCTAAAAATATCTTTGTCATTTCATTTTAATAAGCGTCAACTTATCCTTTGTTTGTAGGATAATACAGGCTGATTATATGGAATTATCTAAAAATAATATTACTTTTTTAAAATCACTTATATACACTTAACTTTATCAAATGACTCATTTAGTTGAATGATTAAGCGATATCATTTTTATAAATTTCATTATTCATTCAGGATAAATTCATATCTGATGGACAGTGTATCATTCGATATAAAGATCGCGATTATGAAGTGCACTGTTGTTGCTATCATTTTCGGCAGAACTGTACGATACGATTAGATAATAAAATGCATATATGTGCTGATCGAACTGAGATGGCAGAAAATGGTATTAAACAAACTGTTATTACTACAACACTTCAATCTTTACCACTTGGAAGTGTAAGTTTTTGTTTTTGCTCGTTAATTTTATATCTCTTTTTTTGTTTTAAATTAATTTTTTTGTTTTAAATCTCTCTTGGTCTCTCTTGAACGGTCAAAGTGTTCAAATCAAATTTTCTCTCTTGGTCTCTCTTGGACGGTCAGAGTGTTCAAATCAAATTTTCTCCCTTGGTCTCTCTTGGACGGTCAGAGTGTTCAAATCAAATTTTCTCCCTTGGTCTCTCTTGGACAGTCAGAGTGTTCAAATCAAATTTTCTCCCTTGGTCTCTCTTGGACGGTCAGAGTGTTCAAATCAAATTTTCTCCCTTGGTCTCTCTTGGACAGTCAAAGTGTTCAAATCAAATTTTCAAGTTATATTTAGTTCGCTTATTTATCATCTTCTCTGAAATAAAAAAAGTGTTATATTCAGAGCTGCTTTACATCTTTTCAATTAAATATAACCGATGAAGAAACGGTGCATTTGATTAGCACTTCATATGGTGTACCAACAATGACCAGAAATGACATCCACCGATGCTACCAGTATATCTCAGAAGATCAGTCCATACAATGTTCTGCAACTGAAAGCTGCCAAAAGATGTGCCCATTAGTAGCGCCTATTCCGGCTAATTTATCTCATACGTTAACGGTACTTAGTTCGGTTTTTTCATCAGATAAAACAATTAAGCAAGGTATGATTTCAGAGCCCTGTAAACATTCCATATCATTTAGAATCGCCATATTATCTAGCTAACAAGTTTAAGCAATTTAATTAATTAATTTGTTTATTCTTTGTTTTTCATTATTAAAATAGAACTTAAAAATTTTTTAAACAGTAAATAATTTTTGTGATTTTCTCTAATAAGAAAATCTAAGTTTAATTTCTTAACTTTCAATAATTAAATTTTATCTGATTCTTCACGCAATGATAGAAATGTTATTTTTAGGTATTATGCTGTTGTGATAATAGAGATGATAATATGTGCAATATTAAAACTGTAAGCAATACTCTTATGCGATTATTTATTTCGATTATTCAATTACTTATTTTGATAAATTAATTTTTAAATTTTTTTTAAAATAAAATTTAAGGAATTTGGTCAACAAGTTCTTATCAATAATAACAACAAATATATGCTAACAAAATGCGCTTATCGTCATATACTACAACATATTTTCTTCTCTAAAATTTATGCTAATAATTGCATCTTATACTATGATTTCAATTTGATGAAACCGTTAAATCTCATATATGGTTTGTATAATTAATTATTATTCATAATTAGTTAGTAAATGATAATTAGTAAAATATAAAATTACTTGAGCTTATCAGTAATATCAAAATGGCGGTGAAATTTTTCACATTCAAAATATTATCATTAAACAAAAAGAAGAATGAATATTAAAGCTTAAAAAATTAGATAAGCTTAGTTTAACTTGCCGTATTATAGAAATATTGTTATTTTTTTTTGTTGTATTTAAGGCCTGCTACACTTAAGGTTTATTATATTTAAGGCTTGTTACATTTAAGGCCTGCTGTATTTTGGGTTTATTGTATTTAAGGGCTGTTACATTTAAGACCTGCCATGTTTTGGGCTTATTTCATTTAAAACTTGTTATATTTAAGGCCCGCTATATTTAAGGTTTATCATATTTAAGGGTTCTAATATTGAAGGTCTGCTATATTTAAGGAGTTGTTATATTTAAGGCCTGCTATACTTAAGGTTTGTTGCATTTGAGGATTATTGCATTCAAAGCCTGCAATATTCAAGATTTATTTTATTTAAGACTTGATGCATTTAAGGCTTGCTATATTTAAGGTTTATTATATTTAAGGCTTGTTATATTTAAGGCTATAATATGGAATTTGAAAGTTCAGCGGAAGAAATTTACGGTAGCAAAAACGAATTGACCGTAGCTGATGTTTTTGAATATAGAAATCTGGAAAACCGTAAGAATTATTTTTTTTTGTCTCTCTATTAATTAATTAATTTTATGATTTATTAAACATTTATTATTATATTTCAATTTCTATTTCATATATTTTGTATGATTGAAAAAGTTCATTTAATATGAGCTTTGTTTTTTCAAAAAATTTATTTTGAAAAGCAATTACTATTAAACTGATAATCTTTTACTTATCTGATAAGACTACAGTAATAAAAGAAATTAAAAAATTAGCAAATTATTAATGGAAAAAATTCATATTACAAATGAAGAGAGTTCAGAATTTTTGGCCAATGAATTTTCTTAGGAGACGATTTATTTGGCTAGCAATTGATTGTGTAATTAGGCTAATAAAACTGTTTAATGGATCAAATAAAAAATTTACAGGTACAGTAATCACACTTACAGTATTCTTCGTTCACTTTGTCTTCTTCCTTCATTTCTTCTTTTCTTATCTCTTCTCATTCTAACCTATTCTGCTTAGTTTTCATCGTTATTGAAATTTACGGTAAATATTTGAGTTATGAAAATCTAAAACTTTCATCTTCCATACTTTACAGTATTATATATGAATAAATTGAATGAATTTAAAAGCAAAAATTAAATATGAAGTAAGTATGAATAATCAGAAATTAAATGTGAATGAACAGAAATTAAATATAATTAATCAGAAATTATGTATGAATTAAATATGAATAATCAGAAATTAAATGTGAATGAACAGAAATTAAATATAATTAATCAGAAATTATATATGAATAATCAGAAATTAAATATGAATTAAATATGAATGAACAGAAATGAATTTAAATATGAATGAACAGAAATGAAATTAAATATGAATAATCAGAAATTCTATATGAATTAAATATGATTAATCAGAAATTAAATATGAATAAACAGAAATCATCATATATGAATTAAATATGAATAAACAGAAATTAAATATGAATTTCAATATGAATTAATACTAAATCACCTATCATGTCATTATTTAAAATTCTTAATTATAGCATGGAGAAAGTGTTGTAGTGAAATTAATGCTAACGAAACACAAATTAATTATATCACAAAAAATAACAAAGCTTGGACAGTGGGAGTATTAAAATGTAATGGAATGAAGGAGCCAAGATGTGATGATAATTTGATTAAAGAAATTGACAAAAATCGAGATTATTACTTTAACTACTATCAAAATAAAGTTTATCTTATTCTTTTTATCAATTATAAATGTTTAATTTAATTATACGAAATTAGCTAACTTTGGTTTTTTAAAATAATAAAAGCAATTTCAATGTCATTTCGATAATGATAAAATAACTTAAATAGGTGAAGTAAACAATATCATTTGATTATAGGTAAGAAATTCCGTAGCACTGTGGTGATTCATTTATTTTCATCAAAATAAATTGTTTAAATGAAATTTCTTAATATATATGCCAATTAAGATTCATTAAGATTTTCTAAATTGTTTAGCGAAAGCTTTCATTAATGATAATCTTCGACAATGATAAAACAACTAAAATAGATTGAGTATACAGTATCCTTTGATTATAGGTAAGAAATTCCGTAGCATTGTGGTGATCCATTCATTTTTAGTAAAATAAATTATTCAAAGGAATTTCTTAATATAT